TCTCTTCGAAGCATGGGTGCGTTTGTTTTGGGGCGCTTGGCTTCTGGTATTCCTTTAAAAAGGAAAACGGCAGCTAAACAAAAAGGGCACTCTCCCAAGAAAGGTACCCCCACATGAGCAGACTTGGTTGCCATTCCGCAGCGCGGTAGAAGTCGGTGAGAGTCCCCGTTTGCTCAAGCTAGGGTCGCTCCTGTTGACCTGACCAAGGGTGGTCCCATAGCACCCAAGGGTGGTGCGAATTTCCACCTGAAAAACTCCCTCCGCGGCCTCCATGAAGCGCTGCCACAGCACCACGCGGCTGCCGTACTCGGGGAAGCTCACCCAGACCTGCGCTGAAGGGCGCCGAGGGAGGTCCCAGATGCCCATGGGTCAAAAGCCAAATCGTACCCCCAGTGAACCTCCCAATGCCCACTAAAATAGGTGGTGAATTCACCTACCCCAAAATGGCACCATTGGTTTTGACCCACAGCCAGATGAGTGAGGCTGCTACACAACCTACAACCCCGAAATGAGCAAGAACCTATCAGTTTTTTGAACCTGCGCTAGGAGGAGCTCCTGTGCCAAGAGCAAGAACATATATGAACTTGGCCAACATAACTTGGAAATGAAATATGAAATCAGGTTGGAGGAGAATGATGTGGGTGAGGACAAACTGTGGGTTGCAAACAGGGCTTCCACAATGGTCACCCCGTACTCATGTTGGCCATGCTTCTGTTCAGAGGAAGCCCTCTCATCATAATCATCATCCCTCCTAGCCCCAAGTAAAAGGGTGTCCTGACCATGGAAAAAGCCAGCCTTCTTTTGAGTCGTTGATATGAAAAAACCACCTCCTCCAAAAACAGCACTGGAGGTCTGGGGAATTGCGTCTTTGGTTCCCCCAAAGATGAGCTTTCGAAGGCTCAGTATTGGATCCCTGAGTTGAAGGAGTCTATCCCTACCCTAAGCGAAAGGAAGTCTTGAGCCTTGTGCATGTAGCCAGCTTCATGGTTTCTGGACCCCTTGGTGGGAAACCAGAAATGCGGGAGGTTTATGTACACCAACCATTTTCACCACGGTGCTGCCATTGCACTAAGTGTAGCCAACTTCTAGGCCACAAAAGGTGCCCGGCTTGTGATTGATCATTCTCTGAACTAACAAGATGTGTCTCTTGTTTGTTTGTTTGTTTGTTTGTTTGTTTGTTTGTTTGTTTGTTTGTTTGTTTGTTTGTTTGCTGTTTGGTAGTGGTTGGTGAGCTGATTGTCAGGAACGAACTGGCCAAGACTCTTTTTGTGATAGTTCCCTTGATGGGCAATCCTTCTGGCGGTTGTCGACAACGGGTCGGTTGATCGTGGCATATATACATATACAGATATAAACATGGCGGTACAATGTGGCTACGCGGTCGAAGATTGCGATTCCATGGCTTCCTGCGCGAAATCAGTCAGGAAGATGCGTCGCTCTTGTTTTTGGAAGGGTGCAAAACGGAAATCCAAAGGAACCACCTGCGGCTTGCTGGTTTCAACATGGTCAACCCGAGCTTCAAACATCCTCAAGGTTTCCCAAAAGATCAACGAACGGTCTGTCATATCCGTTTCAGGCTCGGTACCCTTTTGGACTGCTGCAAATTTCTTGGAGGTTCCGTTTCCTATGAGACGCACACACACACACACACACACACACACACACACACACACACACACACACACACACACACACACACACACACACACACACACACACACACACACACACACACACACACACACACACACACACACACACACACACACACACACACACACACACACACACACACACACACACACACACACACACACACACACACACACACACACACACACACACACAAACACACAAACACACAAACACACAAACACAAACACACAAACACACAAACACACAAACACACAAACACACAAACACACAAACACACAAACACACAAACACACAAACACACAAACACACAAACACACAAACACACAAACACACAAACACACAAACACACAAACACCACACACAAACACACACACACACCCACACCCACACCCACACCCACACCCACACCCACACCCACACCCACACCCACACCCACACCCACACCCACACCCACACCCACACCCACACCCACACCCACACCCACACCCACACCCACACCCACACCCACACCCGCACCCGCACCCGCACCCGCACCCGCACCCGCACCCGCACCCGCACCCGCACCCGCACCCGCACCCGCACCCGCACCCGCTCCCGCTCCCGCACCCGCACCCGCACCCACACCCACACCCACACCCACACCCACACCCACACCCACACCCACACCCACACCCACACCCACTCCACACCCACCCCCACCCCCACCTCCACCCACCCACCCACACACACACACACACACTTACACTCACACTCACACTCACACTCTCACACACTCTCACACACTCTCACACACTCTCACACTCTCACACACTCTCACACACTCTCACACACTCTCACACACTCTCACACACTCTCACACACTCTCACACACTCTCACACACTCTCACACACTCTCACACTCTCACACACTCTCACACACTCTCACACTCTCTCACACTCTCTCACACTCTCTCACTCTCTCACACTCTCTCACTCTCTCACTCTCTCACTCTCTCACTCTCTCACTCACTCTCTCACTCTCTCACTCTCTCACTCTCTCACTCTCTCACTCACTCACTCACTCACTCACTCACTCACTCACTCACTCACTCACTCACTCACTCACTCACTCACTCACTCACTCACTCACTCACTCACTCACTCACTCACTCACTCACTGACTCACTGACTCACTGACTCACTGACTCACTGACTCACTGACTCACTGACTCACTGACTCACTGACTCACTGACTCACTGACTCACTGACTCACTGACTCACTGACTCACTGACTCACTGACTCACTGACACACACACACACTTGGCCCGACAAAAACTCAACTCGCTCGCCTTCTCGTCGAAGGAGTCCTTTAAGCCCTGCGTGTCCACTCCGTCGGCAAAGGGCCTGGCAGTGTCGCATCCAGCGAAGCCGTGTCGAAAACCCCAAACCCAATTGGGGTCTTCGCCCGTCTTTTGGGGTAACATTCCAAGGTTGTCATTGTTTCTTTGGTGAAAAGTCCCTGTTTTGGTGTGAAACATCTGAGGGAGAATGGGACCTATTGGAGATAGATTGTTCATGTTCCTTTGTGGTTGCCTCACAGCTCGCCATCCGATGCTGCGCCCCTGTCTTTCCGACGCGAACAATTGCTCATGTGGCTGTGGGTCAAAATAGGAACCCAAAAAAATGCAACTCCGGTAAATGAAACCAAGGACTCAAACCTGCGGTCGGCTGGTGGTCGAATTTTGACCCATACCCTTTAGACATCTGCATGGCCTATGTCTAGGTCACAGCCAAAGTCAAATCCGCGCCGCGGTGCTTTTCTGCCCTCTTTTCCGCGTCCCGAGTTTCTGGTCTCTTGTCTGCCGAGCCTTGGCCGAAGCGCCCCTGCCATGAAGTCCCTCTCAAAGCTTGCCGAATAGATCTTTGAATGGTCAATGAATGCAAGACTTGGCAGGGGGCATGGCTCTGGAACCGTCCCATCACACCTCCAATAGCCCACCTCAGCCAACGAGGCTTGTGGATGTGAGCATAGCTCAGCAGGCTTCGCGGCTCACTCACTGGCCCTGCTGGCAAGCCTTCAGTGAATCCATGAAGGACTGGCAGGACGACGCATCGCTGGAAGACTTCATGCACTGACTCAGCTGGTCCTGCTGGAACTGGCATGTCGGCTGGCTAGAAGCAGCAGGCGCAGCAGGCGCGCCCTCATGGCGATGGACCACCTCGGTCTGACGCGGGCCCATGACAGCGTCCACAGCTCGGTTGGCGACCGCCATGCCAGTGCCAGCGGCCATTCCCGACATCATGGAACCCATGAGTCCAGACATCATGCCCCCGCCGGCAGGAGCAGCGGCCGGCGGGGCCGCAGGGGCAGCCGCAGCAGGCGGCGGTGCATGCTGCGCAGCCGGGGGAGCCTGTCGAGCTGGGGCCGCTGCCGGGGCTGCCCGACCATGCGATGGTGCCGGGGCAGCACGCTGCGGCGCACTTGCCGAAGATCGGCTGCTCTGGCGGGGCATTGCGAGATCACAAATCAATCCTGCTCTCTTGAACCAACAAAACTCTGTGCGGCATAGGATCATGCAGTTGCAATGTTCAGTGCGTGCGTCTTTCCAACATTGTCTTTCCGAAGCACCATGCAATTGTTTGCCCTGCACCTCTATTACTGATGCTTGTTCTTTTTCCACTGGGCACACCACGTATTTCATCCAAGTCTAGACCCGCACAAAAGTGACACCTGCCCATGCACATACCGCTCACCAGTTCCATAAAGTCCTTGAGCAGGCCCAAATCCGCCGATGCTAGTCCAGCTTGTAGAGGGGAGGGGCTCTCTTGTGTCTAGAATGTGTCTTGCTCAAAAAATCCAGGGACTACAAAACCTGCCTTGTTTTATTGCATGTGCTGCAACACAGAATGCCTTTCAATTGGGCCTCAAGCTTAAATGGGGGAGTGTTGGCTTTGGGCGTTGACATTGGTGTGGGGATTGCAACATAAGCTGTGATCTTTCTGAGCTGTCCTCAGATCCCCCACTTTCAATGGGTTGAATGGGGAACCCCCACTAAACACTAGAAAGCTAAAAACCTAAGGGAACCACCAAGCTTTGTGTCCATCAAACTTTTTCATGAAGACATTGAAATGCTGTGCGTGGCCTTTTCTTGCGATGTCTGCTTAAGGAGTGTCGGCGCCTGGCAGCTCGCTACCGCAAAGGGCATGACTCAGAGACACCGCTGGGATCAACGCGTATGACTCTCCCCAGATCAAGTGATGTGTAGTCTTTAAGGGAACCCAACAAATGGCTTCGGCTTTCCTCTTGCTTTCCCCTTAACACCGCCCCCAAAAATGAGCGCACACAAAATAACAACAACAACAGACCATATTGATTCCAAGCTCTGCCTTGCTGCCCAATCCTTTCTCCAGAATTCATGTTGCGTTTCTGCTGCACTCGCTGCTACCGCAAAATGACTGCCGGGCTGTTCAATAGCCTTGCTGGTGCAGCTTGATGCAGTAGCCAACGAGGGGCGTCACGGCTCACTCACTGGCCCTGCTGGCAAGCCTTCAGTGAATCCATGAAGGACTGGCAGGACGACGCATCGCTGGAAGACTTCATGCACTGACTCAGCTGGTCCTGCTGGAACTGGCATGTTGGCTGGCTAGAAGCAGCAGGCGCAGCAGGCGCGCCCTCATGGCGATGGACCACCTCGGTCTGACGCGGGCCCATGACAGCGTCCACAGCTCGGTTGGCGACCGCCATGCCAGTGCCAGCGGCCATTCCCGACATCATGGAACCCATGAGTCCAGACATCATGCCCCCGCCGGCAGGAGCAGCGGCCGGCGGGGCCGCAGGGGCAGCCGCAGCAGGCGGCGGTGCATGCTGCGCAGCCGGGGGAGCCTGTCGAGCTGGGGCCGCTGCCGGGGCTGCCCGACCATGCGATGGTGCCGGGGCAGCACGCTGCGGCGCACTTGCCGAAGATCGGCTGCTCTGGCGGGGCATTGCGAGATCACAAATCAATCCTGCTCTCTTGAACCAACAAAACTCTGTGCGGCATCGGATCATCAAGCATCGGATCATGCAAGACACCTCTCAACCTGCCTCAGCGTAGTTGCTGTGCTGCCCTACTATCTTGCGCATCGCATGTTCATCGCGCACTGCAAACAACTCAGAAATTGAACACGGAGTGCCATGTCAAGCGAAACCTGTTTGCATAAACCGCCAACAAAGACCAGGCTGAGTTACCAACACCAACAGTCAAACAAGCTTGCTAATTACGCAGCGTCTCTTACCTTAGCAAATGGACAGCTGCAATCCTTTCTCAGCTCTTTGCCGCTACTTGCGACTGGTCTTTGCCCCTGTACAAGACATCCGAGCGCTCGGCTGCAACAGCACTATGCAGCCGTCCCATGACACCTGCAGTAGCCCGTCTCAGCCAACGAGGCTTGCGGATGATGTGAGCATAGCAGGCGTCACGGCATCACTCACTGGCCCTGCTGGCAAGCCTTCAGCGCGTCCATGTAGGACTGGCAGGACGATGCATCGCTGGAAGACTTCATGCACTGACTCAGCTGGTCCTGCTGGAACTGGCATGTTGGCTGGCTAGAAGCAGCAGGCGCAGCAGGCGCGCCCTCATGGCGATGGACCACCTCGGTCTGACGTGGGCCCATGACAGCGTCCACAGCTCGGTTGGCGACCGCCATGCCAGTGCCAGTGGCCATTCCCGACACCATGGAACCCATGAGTCCAGACATCATGCCCCCGCCGGCAGGAGCAGCGGCCGGCGGGGCCGCAGGGGCAGCCGCAGCAGGCGGCGGTGCATGCTGCGCAGCCGGGGGAGCCTGTCGAGCTGGGGCCGCTGCCGGGGCTGCTCGACCATGCGATGGTGCCGGGGCAGCACGCTGCGGCGCACTTGCCGAAGATCGGCTGCTCTGGCGGGGCATCGCGAGATCACAAATCAATCTGCTCGCTTGGGCCAACAAAACTCTGCGCGGGAGATCATGAAGCTTGTTGGCTTCCAAACGGTTTGCAACGGTTGGCAAAAGCATGTGAGCAGCGCCCAAGCACGCTGTGACCTTGGCTGCTACCACTGGCAGTAGCACTTGCTTTAATAATGGGGCTGCTAGCCTCTTTAGCGAATACAAAACCCACAAAAAAAAAGATGGTTCGGGGTGGAATCCAACACCTCGAAGCTCACAAGCTCAGTTATTGGGCCTGGAGGTGCTTCCGATGAAAAGGATCCGATCCTGCTCATTGGCCTGCGATGGCCGGTAGTTTGTTTTTTTCTTTTTTAGCAAAGGACCTGAAAGGATAGGCGGAAAAAAAGGGGCAAATAAAAAAGTCGTGTACAATAAGGGAAACTCAGGGGGTGTTCTGGCGGTGTCCCGGAGATGCTTTGGTGGTGTCTCGGTTGTGTTTTTGGTGGTGTTTTGATGATGTTTGGTGGTGCCAAATGTTTTTGGTGGTTGCACAGGGGTACCTATGAGGTTGCACAAAGCAAACAGGCGGCAGAAAGCGGGTACGTATTCAACAAGCTGCAAACAAGGATGAATTGTCACATATCACGGCGCGTGTGGGGATACGTATGTTTGAACCAGTCGGAATGTCGGAATGTCGGAAGCTGCCAAGGATGGATTCGTGGCTCCAAATGGAACCCAGTCGTGGTTGTTCCGCGGCTGCCAAACGTGTTTCCGCGTTCGGAGTTGGGCCCATGTTATTGACCTGTTAGAGTCACTAGTGTCACTAGCAATATATGTGTGAAGTGGTCTAACTCTACTCCACTTGACAATTCAGCAGATCCTGAATTAGCTGCCCTTGGGCGAACGAGGCATCCACGTTCCAAAAAGATTGGAAGTCATCTCTTGGATGGTCTCCGCTGGTTTAGGGGCAGGTCCTTTGAGTAATCGACAAAAAACAATCACTACCAAATAGGGGACCAGAGCCGATACCCATCTACGAAACTGATAAGGCCCCACCCAAACCCAATACCCTTGCAATATTGTCTGCTCGAATTAAGTTAAGTCCCTTCGACTCTTCCCCAGACTCAGACCCCCAATAAGAACCTTTTGCTGGTTGAAAGGTAAACCGGGAACGCAAGGCAAACAAGTTGAAAAGGAAAGCACTGGCATTGTACAAGGAACAATTCGTGACTCAGCCATTTGCATCCCTCTGTTTGAGGAAACACCCATGGTATTGCACGGATATTTCCTGAAAACCGGCAATCGAGTTGAACGGAATGGCTCTGATCAAATACTCAATCAGAAACCAGAAGCCAAACATGTTGCCGGGAATCACATTTTGTTGTGGACACACCATTTTCTTAGGGTGTCATGTCACGGTTTGGTGCTGAACAAAACAAACAGAAGCATTGAAGGCAAAGGCCGGCGTCGGAAAACTAGCATCAACAAAACACACCAGGCAAACAAGAGCCACGGTCAACTGATGGCCAACACATGAGCCCGGGGGCCAAAATGTACTTGTTTCCCCCCACAGGACATGGGATAGTTTGGCTGTCAGTGGTTGTTGCTGAAATTCGGAATTCGGGTGTCTCTGTGTCCTCCCCAAAATAACAGCTTGCACTGCTCATACGCTGCTCATAATAACCAAATGAGAGTCTCACTATTCTAGCTGCTCATAATAACCAAATGAGAGTCTCACTATTCTAGCTGACGTCCCCCGGTCCCCCAGTGCCAGGGATCCAAATCTTGTCTGACCAAGCGGCCCATCCCCGAAGGCCAATTTCTCAACATACCCTTGGGGAAGATGATTTTAGTGGTAAGCGGCAAACAAGTTCGGACTTGTCTTTTGCCAGATCACTCAGGAAGTAAAATTTAGCTGGTTCAATCGTTGCTTTTCTAGCAAATGGCCAATACACATGCCTAACATTATCCTAGGACCAACAATGGGTTTGGGCACTCAGATACGGCCTCGTCGAATCTCTTCACCTGATTGATGGCTGCTTGCAGGTCCTGGCGCGGTCTCCAAATCCCTTCTGGCACCATGAAAGGTACCCACGGTCAAAGTATGGGGTCGCCGAGGACGTGGACAAAGCAGGGTTGGATCGGCTCTCTCCGGCTCACTTGAATCGCACAAGTGGATGAAATACATGCTGTTGTTGGACATAAATCAATAGTTCCTGATGAACACAAAGAATAACAAGGTAAGATATAAAGATGGACAAGATAGACAAGTATATGTTAAACATCATGCTATTCAACAAGCTGTAACTGTAATAAATTTGAGACCTCACGCGAATAGCTTATGCCTTGTTGTGAATTGTTGTTAATTTGTCATATTCCACTATCTGTATCATATTTGCATTCATGGCGTATTGTTCTAACCTAGGCATGTTGCCCCAACCTTACATCTATTTGCCAGGCCTCAAGGATGACGCCCTTCCCCGGCTTGGTTAGCCCTGGGTTTCAGTCATTCTGACACCCCAAAGGCGCTCCACATGGGGGAACCCTCGAACAAGGGTCCGTGTGATGGTAAATCGCTCAAACGAAAGGGTGCAACCCTTCGAAGTGACCATACTCATAGCCATATTCCCGAGTGATTCTGTCAAGCCATGCCAGAAGATATATCCAACGGGCTTGGCAGGGTTCTTGCTCAACCAGTCTGAGGGTCCCCAAAGATACAGTACATCCAGCAATCGCCTGATTCGCAAGGAGATCCTCCAAATCACCTAGACGCGATGTTCAAGGGCCGAATGTATCATGCAACCGGACCCAGCAAAATACGCCCAAAGTAATGGACCCTCATGAGCAAGCTTGTGACATCCCCGGATATTCTGGGTATCAAAACAGCACCCCGGACCCCGGACTCCGGAACGCCCCCACAATGCTTGTCCTTTTGGAAATCAACGAACCAGGGTGGTTCAAGGGCGTCAAGAAAACGCGGCACCAGCCCTGGCTCTCAGCCCAAACCACAAGGCCACAGCTCCTTCTTGATCCTGCTGGGCGCCGTGGCGGAGTCCCCGCCCTTCTTCTTCTTTGTCGCCTCCCGATCGAACCAAAACTCAGCTTTTCGGGTGTGAAAGCGGCGAGGGTCTCCAGGTCACCTGAAGGCTCAAAGGGAACCACCTCCATCTTGAGTCGCCAGGAAGAAAAACAGTGATAGATTCCCTCCAAAACGCAACTCTCAGATGCCCAGTGGCCATGGGAAAAAAGGGCATCCTTTTTGGTTGGCTGACTTTCGAAGGGAACCCTCCCCCCCAAGAAAAAAAGGCACCACTGGGCAACTGGGATATGGAAGCAAAGGACAACCGCCAACTTTGGGTTTGTAGACTTGGCGCCGAAGACATCTGCACAAGTCCCAAGGAGTGCCGCTTGACCCGTTCTGGGTGAAGATCAAATCCATGGATTTGTCGTCCGACCCGCTTTTTTGAAGTTGAACACGAGCCACTTGTTCTGTTCTCCCCATAAAATAGACCGATGGTTGGGTATCAAGTTCGGGTCAAGTTGGTTGGTTGAGGTTACCCCCCTCCCCCTTAGGAAAGAGCCTGGAACACCTGCTCCACCTGGTCGATGTAGATCACCGACGGTGCCATGTCCTGCCGAAAAGCCGCGCCCGGCGCCAGTTATGTCGCGCGTGGACGTACGTCTCGACCAACTCAGCTCCCCAGGAACCCAAGGAAAAAACCCGGCTTCGTGGCCCTCAAAGCAGGGTGCACAGAAAATATGTTGTGATCCTGTTTCATCGATGGTGTGCCCTGAACTATAAAAGTAGTCTTGGGACCCGAGAGGTTTACCCACGCGGGAAACAAAGGCCCCACACTGTTTATGGTCGCTGGCCTTCCCGAACAAAACCCTCCCAACAAGGTTAAGCAAGGGCGCCACCGGGTGTCTTGGTTTACGGTAGAACCACCTGATGTGTGTGGTGCTCAGTTTGCGCTGGCTTTGCGTGACTTATCTCCCTCTTGGCCAACGCCTTTGTGGGTTCCGGCACGGTTTGCGGTGAAAGTCAGCCATACTCGCGACATCCTTTTCTCGGTTGCTTTCTGCTCCACTGCAAAAAGTTTAACTTTTAGTGGTTTAATGGAACACCCATTAGTTGGCAAAAATTAA